TGTACATTCTATGAGTTTGGACAAATGTGTAATGACACGTCTCTACCACTGTAGTATCGTAGAGAGTAGTTTCACTGCCCTAAAAATCCTCTGTGCTCTGCCTATTCTTCCCTCCCTCTCCCCTAATCCCTGGTTACCACTGACCTTTTTACTGCCTCCACAATGTTGACTTTCCCAGAATGTCATATAGTTGGAATGATACAGTACATAGCCTTTTCAGATTGGCTTCTTTCACTTAGAAATATGCATTTAAGTTTCCTCCAAGTCTTTTCACGGCTTCATTTCTTTTTAGTTCTGAACATCCATTGTCAGGATGTACCACAATCTATTTATCCATTCACCCAGTGAAGGACATCTTGGTTGGTTCCAAGTTTTGGCAATTATGAATAAAGCTGTTATAAACATCTGTGAGCAGGTTTTTGTGTGCACATAAGTTTTTGACTCCTTTGGGTAAATATCAAGAAGCATGATTGCTGGATTATACGGTGTGATATTGTGGTATCATAAGAAATATATATTTGGTCTTTGTGCCTGGGTCCATGCACAGAGCTCCTAAAATCCTTGTAATTTCCTTACTGATGGGATGATAGGAGCATGTTTTGTTATAATATTTGGTCTTAGTCCCAGGTTCATGACACAAGAGCTTCTAAGACCCTTGGAATCTCCAGAGTGATGAATGTCTTTTGTATGCTAATGAGATGACTGGTGGCTGGGGGCCCCTAGACAGCTTCAGGTTGGGGGCTGGTCACCAGGAAGACCAAGGTATGATTACAGGATTGAAACTTTCAGCCCTAACCCTCAACCCCTCCACCCCCCTTCAGGGAGGGGAGAGAGGCTAGAGATTGAATCAATCACCAATGACCAATGATTTCATCCATCATGCCTACTTAATGGAACCTCCATAAAAACCCCTAAACTACAGGGTTCAGAGACCTTCCAGGTTGGTGGATGTATCCATATGCTGGGACTGTGGCACACCCCAATTCCATGGGGACAGAAGCTCCTGTGCTCAGGACCCTTCCAGACCTCACCCTATGTACCTCTTCATCTGGTGTTAGTTATAGCCTTTATAATAAACAAGTAACAGTAAGTAAAGTGTTTCTCTGAATTCTGTGAGCCATTCTAGCAAATTATCAAACCTAAGGATGGAGTTGTGGGAACCTCCAACTTTGTAGGCAAGTCAGACAGACGTGTGGGTACCTTGGGTACCCAATACTTGCAATTGGAGTCTGAAATGAAGGTAGAGTTGTGGGACTAAGCCCTTAACCTATTGGGTATGCACTAATTCTGGGTAGTTAGCATCAGAATTGAACTGAATTATAAAACACCTACTTGGTGTTTGGAAAGTGGAAGAACTGTTTGGAGTGAGGGGGAAAAAAACCCATACATTTAGTGTCAGAAGTGCTGAGGGTAGAAACAGATCATATATTCCAGGAGTATGTTTAGTTTTGTAAGAAACTGCCAAACTGTCTTCCAAAGCAGCTGTGCCATTTTGTATTCTCACAGTTCCTTTTGCTCCACACCCTTGCCAGCATTTGGTGGTGTTGGTGTTGTCAGTGTTCTCTATTTTGGTCATTCTAATAGGTATATAGTGGTATCTCATTGTCGTTTTAATTTGCATTTCCTTGAAGACATATAATGTGGAGCCTCTTTTCATGTGCTTACTTGCCATCTATATATCTTCTTTGGTGAGGTGTCTGTTAAGGTCTTTGGCCAATTTTTTAATCAGATTTATTTTCTTATTGTTGAGTTTTAAGGGTTTTTTTGTATATTTTGGATAACAGTCCTTTATCATATATATATATACAATTTTTTTTTTTTGCAAATATTTTCTCCCAATCTGTGGCTTGTCTTCTAATTCTCTTGAAATTGTCCTTCACAGAGCAGAAGTTTTTAATTTTAATGAAGTCCAGTTTACCAATTCTTTCTTTCATGGATCATGCCTTTGGTGTGGTATCTAAAAAGTCATCACCAAACCCAAGATCATCTAGATTTTCTCCTACGTTATCTTCTAGGAGTTTATAGTTTTGCATTTTACATTTCGGTCTATGATTCATTTTGAGTTAATTTTTGTGAAAAGTGTAAGATCTGTGTCTAGATTCACTCTTTTTGCATTGGTCTTCTTCCTACCTCTTATTGGATTTATTTCCTTGGATTTATCTCCACATAAATATTCACTTCTTTTTCTGATTGATCTCCTTCATTCACTCTCATGGCTTCTCTTGTCTTCTAGAAAGGTCCTCAAATAGTCCATAAACTATGTGCATCAGAATCAACCAGGGTGCTTGTCAGAAATACAGCTTCCCAGGTGCCCCTGAGATGGAAACTTCTGGGACTCAGAATTTTGACATAATTTTAAGCAGAGAATCAAATTCTGCTCCTCAGAATCTAGGGGATTCTGAGGAGCAGAATCTTGGAAATCACTGTTCTAGGAGATGTTGATGATATCTACATTTATTTCTTGAGTCAATGCTGAGGGTTTCCTAAGCTCTAGCCCAATCTTTCTAACAGTTTGCTGGTCATCTAAGCTGATAACCCTCAGTCAACTCATCCCAAACCTGCCGGAACTATGTGTGCTCCCTATGTTTCTTATTCAGTTAATGATGCTCTGTATAACCACCCCATACATCCACCTAGGCTAGAAATCTCAGTTACCTACAACTTCTCCCTTTTCTCGCATATCTAATTGATGACATCATCCTGCTGACCAGGTTTGGGAAATATCATTTGACTCTACCTGCTTCTTCACTTATCCCACTGTGACCATTTACTTCATGCCTCATCTCTGTCTCAGGACATCACAACAGTTTTCAGACTTATCTAATATTCTGATTCTCTTATCTCGAGTCCATTCTCTACATTTCCATTTGCATCATCATCCTAAGGTGGCAATGTCTCATAGAACTTTCTGTGATGATGGAAATGCTCTACATCTGCGTTGTCCAGTAGGGTAGCCACTACCCCCATGTGGCTACTGAGAACTTCAAACGTGGCTAGTGTGACTGGAGAACTGAATTATAAATTTAATTGAATTCAAATTTATATAGCCACATGGATCTAGAGGCCACCATATTGGACAGCACAGTTTTAAAATATGGGTTTTTTCATATCCTACCTTAGTGCTTTCAAAAAGCTCTTTACCTACAGGATAAAGTCTAGAGTCGGTAGTGTAATACTGAATGACCCTCATAGTCCAACCCTCTTTTCAGTTTCTGTCACCTCTCTGCCCCTAATTCCATGTGTACCCTAGAGCTATTGAAACTTACTTTTCCTAAACAAGCCATAATTTTTACATCTCCCAGCTTTTGATCCTGCTCTTTGCTCTACCTAGAATGCCCTTCCCTTATTTCCTTCCTTTCAAAATTTGACTCCATTTTCAATGCCTAATAAAGAAAGCCCTGCACCCACCCCCAACAGAGGAACATCCCCTTATCCTTGACCTCAAACAAGCTATTTAGCATCTCTCAGCCTAGTTTCCTCATCTTTCAAGTGGGAATGATAAACTTTCTCCCTCACAGAGTTGTTGGGGGTTTAGATATTGCACAATTCAGACTCTACCACTGAGGAAGCACTCAATAAAAAACTGTTGTTACTATTTTCTGTCCTCCCGGAACACTTACCACATGGTATCAGAGGTCTTTCCAGATGGGACTCTCTCTCTCCTCAAGACTGTGAGCTCATTAACAGCAAAGACTTGATCTTGTTCACCATTGTCCGCCAGCATCCGGCACAGTGTAGCTATTTGACAAATGTCTTGACTGGGTGACAAATAAGTAACTGAGTGAATCAATTATTCACGTAGGTCTCAAAAAACAATAATTTTTTAAAGTATGCCTTTTTCGTGTGTATCTTTAGGGAGCACCAAAAAAAGACATGCAAATGTGGCAAGAATGAGAAAAGAGGATGCCAACAACTTTTCTTGTGGAGCATTAAATCTTTCTTGTTACTGACCAGAAAAACTGGCATATAAGGCTGTTAAATCTGTGTCCCTTCTCCTTGCTTGACTGGAGTATGAACTCTAACATTTTTGCCATTTTGACTTTCCTTTCTGGGCTCCCTGGTTCCTCTGCCCCTCTCCCCACCATGGGTATTAAGCTTCCATCACTGTCACCAAGGAAACAGCGGGGATGCCTCATTCCTCACAGCTCTGCATATTTAAACTCTGGTCGCCTTTGTCCACTGAGCTAGCTAAATTGTTCCCTCGCTTGCCACTAAATCTACTGTCTTCTATACAGAACTTTATCCATTATTCTACCTCTAACATCAACAACAAAAAGATGTATAACAAGTTCTTCTCTTGGGAATGGCCTTTTTCTAAATCTGTCAATACTCTTGAATGCACCAGACATTTTTGGTCCCTAGGAGCAAATATAAAAATGGCCTGTTCAGCCTTTGTAGTGTGTGCAGTACAAGTGCGGGTCAATTTTAAAGCACGCAACAGAGCATTCATAATGGGTTTCCCTTTTAAAAGCACAGTAGACCAAAAATAAACCTGACGAAGGTCAGCTGTAGAGTTTTAACATGTGGAAAACTCCACAGGCGGCAGTTATGTAACTGGAAAGAAACACGATAAATATTTCACACCGTTAGATGAACTTCCAACTCTGACACGTGAAAAGCAAAGAACACAAAACACACCTTAACTCTCTCCAAGGAGCAAAAAGCTTACACTGAGAAGGGGCCAAGGCGATTGCTAAATTCTGAGACTTGCCTTCCAGCACGAGTCTTGATTGCTGTTTTTACCCCCTCGCGTCCAAGGCGCAGCCGGCGAACCCCATCCCCCCCAGAGCGCCTCCCCCGCAGCTTCGCCCGTTGGCCAGAAATTTTCCAAAAATCTCCACCCCTAGGCTGAAAACCCAGAAACAAGTTTTGTGCCAAGGAGGGGAGGAGAGGAGTTGGAGCAAGGCAAGCGGAGTTCCCCGCTCCACCGTGCCCCCCCACCCCGCCCAGCAGCCCGCGCCTCCTGCCCGGGGCTCCTCGCCCTGGGGACAGCTGGCAGCCCCCCCGCCGACCAGACACAAAGCGGCTCAATCCGAGCGGCGCGGGGGCGGGGGGACGCCCAGCCAGGGCTTTCCTTCCGCTGTTCGCCTTCTGCCTGCTCATGAGGACCCAGCTGACATCTCGTCCGGCTTCCACGACCCGCCCCCCTCTCACCCGCAACCCCCAAAAAAAGAACGACCCAGACCCCCCAGCCCCCAGCCAGGCCAGACCTGCCTCGTAGGCAGCCGGCTGAGAAGGCGCCCCTGGAAGGGGAAACTGACACCCTGTCAGGGTCCGCCCTTCCCCTCCCCGCCGCTGCACCAGACTCTCCTCTCCCACCCCAGAAGTTGAGGGTCCCTCCGCCCGGCCTCCCGCGCTCCGGCCACCGGGACACTCGAGACCCCGGGAAGATGGCGAGGAGGAGCCGCCACCGCCTCCTCCTGCTGCTGCTGCGCTACCTGGTGGTCGCCCTGGGCTGTAAGTTGCTGGGGTCCCTCCACCCTCCCGCTCTCTCCTGCTGGGACCAGCTCCCCGAAACCTCCAGCGCCTGCACGCGGCGCTCGTGGAGAGCTGTCTCCGGGGCTCTGGGCTGAGGGTCTGCGGCGGGGCATCTGACTTGGCGCCCAGCGAGCGGGCAGGCTCGAGGGCGGGAGGCTGGTGTCTTCGGTTTATTGTAAATAGCATCTGATTTTGTCATTTCTAGTTAGAGAAAATTAACGGTGCACACCAGTAGGTTCTCGTCTTCTTGCAAAGTTGGGTTAAGTTTTCAAAGACACAGGGACGTGAACAGAATGCAAAACTCACTAACTAGTTATAAGATGCTAAGACCCCAAGATGGCATCGCTCGGAGGCAGGCGCCGGCCACACTCGAAGTACCAGAGGAGGGGGCAGTGTTCGAGTTTTCTTGGCTTCCGAGGGCCCCAGTTGTGCCGGCAATACGCAGTGCACTTGTGGGGCGGGGGGTGGGGGAATTCGTGGCTGCTGGGCCAGAATTACTTTTATCCTCTCCACCTGCGCATCCACATTCAGTTAGAAAAGTCTGGTCTGGGGACTCCAACCAGCTGCTGTGTCCTCAGGGGACGTCCGACGGGATGATTGTTAGAAAGTGCAGAAGCTGAATGATCGAGGAGCAGGCGGACGTCCCAAAGCCAATTTCACGGGATGGTTCTAAACAGGATTTTCACGGATTCTGGACTTAAGAGATTTAAAATCCTGGGAACGTTTCCTATTATTGTGTTTTCTTCGCGTTAACTTTTTAGGAAAATGGAAGAAATTACAATAGAATTTAAGCACTTAAGCAATGAAGCCCTCCTTTTTTCTTTCGGTTTTCCTTTTCTTTCCTTTTTTTTTTTTTTTTAATAGTATGGATTATTGTTGCTATTCAAGTTCTGGTAATAAAATACTTCAAGTAGCCAGATGAGTGTCTAATACTATAAGCCAGTGACTTTTTCTCACGCTCTCATTGCCGAAGTGAGTATTGCTCAGCTCAAGGTGATGTGGGCATTGTCCCTCAGTGGGGGAGGAAGGTGCCAGTTGTCTCAGTGAAGGGGCGTGTGCTGACCTGTATTAGAGAAAATCAAACTAGAAAGGCAAGGTTTCACAATAAAACCATTATGCAGTTTTGAATTATCAGTTGGTATCATGATGGACACACGGGAAAAAATGCACTAATGCTGAAAGGCAACAAAGACGCAGGCTGGAGGAATTGTAACAAAACTGGGAAAGTTATGTATTCCACTGACAATCTTACGTTTCAAATAAAAAAGACTGACTTTAGTGTAGAATTGTCACTAGTTAAAAACAGAAAATGGTCTTACTCTGCTATCCCTATTTAGTAATCAAAACAGAAACAATACACCCTAAATTTGAAATTGTAGCCAAGAAACAACCAAGAGGTAAACTAAGGTTTAGATGAATGGGCAGAATAACCTCTTCTTCAAGTTTTGAGTAAATCCAAGGCATTGGCTCTTCTAACTCTCACTCCTCTAGGGGATTAATTTGGAAGTGTGTGTGGATCTTTTCTATATTGTTCTTGGTATACCAAAAGGTCTAGCATTGCAAGAATGTTTTCTTTTCGTTTTTAAAATAAATTTTTAAATTTTAGAATAGTTTAAAGAAAAATTGTGAAGTTATTATAGCGAGTTCCTATATACACCACACCCACTTCCCCCATTGTTAATATTTTACATTAGTATGATACGTTTGTCACAATTAATGAACCAATATTGATACATTATTATTAAGTAAAGTCCACACTTTATTCAGATTTCCTTCATTCTTACCTAATGTCCTTTTTTGTTTTGGATCCCATCCAGGACACCACATTACACTTAGTCATCATGTCCCCTTAGCCTCCTCTTAGCTGTGACAGTGTCTCAGACTTCTCTTGTCTTTTATTACCTTGATGGTTTTGAGGAGTACTGGTGAAGTATTTTGTAGAATACCCTTAGTTGGTATTTCTCTGATGCTTTTCTCATGACTAGATTGGGTTTATGGGTTTTTTAGGAGGAAGACCACAGAAGTGTAAAGAGCTATTTTCATCACCTCATATTAAGGGTACATACTATGAACATGACCTATCACTGTTGATGTTAACCTTCATCACCTGGCTGAGGTAACTTATGTCAGGTTTATCCATAGGTCGCCCTTTCTTTCCTCTTTTGATGCTGTAATTTTTGGAAGGAAGTCACTATGTACAACCCACACTTAAGGAAGAAGAGTTATGCTCCACCTCCTTGAAGGTGTAGTATCTCTATAATTATTTGGACTTCTTCTGCTTGGGAGATGTGTCTTTCCCTCCTTCCCCAATCATTCATTCATTCATCCATTCATTTTTATATCAGTATGGGCTCATGAATATTTATTTTATACTTTGGATTATAGTCCAATACTATTTTATTTAGTTTATTGCACAGATTGTTCCAGCTTTGACCATTGGGAGTTCTTTCAGCGGTTCCTATGTCCCCGTGACATATCCCCATCATGTATATATGCATTTTAGTTTTTGTTTGTTTTTAGCACTTCCTTACTTTTTGGCACTATAAAATGCTCCCAACGGATCTTGCATATTTCCTGCTCTAGTCCTAGAATCAGCCATATCTCCAAGGAGCCCTAGTTCCTTTTATTGGAGAATGGTGTTGGAAACCAAGATCTGGACACTAGGTGTGCTCATTGCTATTAGGGTGTTGTTGAAAAACAAGAATGTTCTTTAAGGCTCAGTTTCACTCCACCATCCTGTTTGTGATTTCTTACCTCCAGTTTCATGTCTAGATCTGAAATCAGTATATTGAAGGATTATGTATATATCAGACACTGTTCTAAGGACTTTCTTGTATATTCTCTCTTTTTAAGTTCTCAACAAATGCATAAGACAGAGCATATCTTCAGCTTGTAGATAGTGACCCCAAGGCTCGGGAAAGCTAAGTTACTTGTCTAAGCTCACTTACCTAGGCTGGAAAGAGATAGAACTGGGATTTGAAGATCTGAGAGTTTGCTCCATAGATAACTGGCCTTCACTCCTCTCCTTGTTTTTCTAATTGAGCACTTAACCCTCTTTGCTGTGTTCATTCAAGAAAAGACTTGGTGGATTTCTTATGCTCTATTTACATACTCATCTTCTTAATGTTCATCCCAAATATAACTGTACCACTGTTTTGTTCCAATTCTATTATATATAATGTCATGCTTATTTCATTCTTTCCTTTTATTTCTGTTTGTCAGCATTCTTTATTTCTTTCTTAATAGTCTGGAGGATTGCCTTTTGTTGTTGTTTGCTGTTACTTAAACTATGATTTCAGCATACCTGTTGATATGTAAACATTTATGTGTGTTTTTAGTTGAATTATATTTTTCTCTCTCACTAAAATTGATATTTGTTCACCATTGGATGTCCAGTGCTGAGTAAAGTACCTGGTAATAGTAGGTGTAAATATTTACCTATTAATTAGGTGGGAAAGGGATGAGGTGTAGTGGGTGGAAAAAATGTTTGGATAGATTTAATGATTGTAATATAAATCACGAAGCCCTAACTTTTGTAAGTAAATGGAGTGTCAGATTTCTCTGAGGTGACATTTAAGCCAAGGAGTTGAATGTGAATGAGAGCAGTGTGATGTTCTTGACACCACGTGGCTGGTAGCAGCTGGTCCTCAGATCTGGACTGGAACCCAAGCCAGGCAACTTGGCCTGAGTCTGTAATCTCTCATTAACTGATAAGGACTGTGGAGGAGTTCTAGGTCTTCTGCAAAGTCCCAAGGTTCTGCCTCTCTGGTGGAACTGACCCAAAACAGCATTCCAGGTAACCAGTGCCAGGAAAATTCCACCCTGTGTAAACATTGTTAAGAACAAAGCATCATAATCAATTTGCTGAAAAGAACTGTTTCCATCTTGGTATGGTCTCAATTATCTGATGAACAGAAAGGTCAAATTGGGCTTGCTGGTAGACCTGATAACCATTTCAAGACTGTAACAGAAATTACAATAAATAGGAAGAAGTCAAAAACAAAAACATCAGCATAAAGAGAACAGTGAGTTCCCTGTGACTGAGAACACTCATTTGTCCTTCCACATGAGCAGTTTAACGAGAAGAGCCCATGTGAATTTATATGATTGCTCTACCCATGGTTGCCATCACATTGGTTTCCTCTTGTGGGCCTTTTTGGTGGAGAAGATGTTTTGGACTATAGAGGCAAGAGCTGTTTTTTGATGTCAGACCAGCAGAAATCTGTAAAGGACATTATTTAAAATAACATTTCTTTTCATCCCATAGCAATCTAATGGCAGCCCTGAGTCAATATTCCAGTATACCTGATTGATGTATTGCCAGATCGATGTTTTGAGAAAGATGAGGGTGAGAATGAGAAAGGGGACTCAGAATCTGAGTCTAGTGCTTTCTTTGGCAAAAGCAGAAAAAAGAAACCTTAAAACTGGGCACTGTTTCTTGGAAGGTGTTAACTTTTAACAAGGCCAGAACTTAGAAAAACAACCCAGCTGTATTAGTTCTCTATTGCTGCAGTAACCAATTACCACAAATTTAATATAACACAGATTTATTATCTTAAAGTTCTATGGGTGAAAGTGAAATGGGTCTCACTAGGCTAAAATCAAGATATGGGAAGATCAGCGTTCCTTCTAGAAGTTCTAGGGGAGAATCTGTTTCCGTGTCTTTTCCAGTTTCTAGAGGCCAGCCGTGGCCCCATTCCTCCAGATTCAAAGTCAACAATGCCAGGCTGCCACATCTCTGGTTCTCTCTCTTCTGACTCTTCTGCTTATTAGGACCCTTGTAATTATATTGGGCCCACCTCGGTAATCCAGGATAATCTACCCATCTCAAGATCAGCTAGTTAGCAACTTTAATTCCATCTACAACCTTAATCCCTGTTTACCATGTAAAGTAACATGTTTATAGGTTCCTGGGGTTAATTTGTGGACATCTTTGAGGGCCATTATTCTGCCTCCCACACCAACCAAAAGTAGGGCCA